CACCTGCCTGTACATCCCCACACCCATGGCACTGTCACTTTCTCTGATTTGCCCTCAGTGATCAGCACTCTCTTGTCTTTGGTCTCTCATTCATACCTGGGTCTTCATGAAGATCCTGGTTATTCCAGAGGCCAGTTTTTATCTGGAAGGGATATACCTCTATGCCTATCTCAATGACATCCTGATCTGGGCATCCTCTATGCCCCTGCTGGACCAGTCCTAAAAGAGAAAGCTACAGTACCTTCTATCCCTTCACTTCCTAATCTGTCAAGATATTTCTCACTGACTGCCCTATCAGAACATTTGTATTTGTGAATGGTCTTAGATACCAGAGTGGCAAAGGCTCATACTGGATATATCCTGCAAAGACCTTACAGGTGGGAAACAGCCACGTGGTACATCCTGAAGAGTGGAGAGAGCTAGCTGGTTCCAGGAGGACAGAATGCATGGAGTCTCGCCTATTAGCTCTCACCCTCCACCTCACCAGTGTAGTCTGCTACACTTCAGAAAATCCTGACTTACAAAGGTTAATGTTAATTTTGCAGCCATGTAAACCAGATAAAATCTTGAAATTGTGGAGATGCACAATCATTCCATAGTGGAAATTAGAGTTAATAATCTATCCTTTAAATTTGTCAATTTTTCCAGAGTATAATTGCAGACTCCATGAGAAATGGCTCTCAATGCTTCAAAGGGAGACAGAAAAAGGTGAACATGAGTTTCTCTGCAGGTCAAGGAGATAGAAGGCGGCTGAGGCCTTAGTCTCCCCAGACTGTAGCCATGAATTCTAATGTACCTCCCCCCCGGATGGTATCTTTGTGCCATCTATAAAAAAGTCTCACTTGAAAAATGAGATTCATATAGATTTCACTTCAAAAATTCCTAACTCTCTTTCATTGCTGTGATTTACCCAATATCCCAAGAGGTCCCCATATTTGCTGGTTGCCTTCCAGGAGCATGTTGTCAGTCATTCTGGAACTCATTTATTATGAGTGTAGGCAAGTACAAGGAGCTGTCTTTGATAAGAATCCTAAAATTGGCTCAAAATTTACATGGAGGACTAGCCCACATGTAACCTCGTGTCTTTTCTTTTCTTCTCTTCTCGCTCATCAGCAGCTAGCTGCAGAACCTGGAAAAATAATTGCTCAGGTCCATATTTTTCTATCTTATGTCTACCCTAACAGTAGGAATGAGTGTGAGGAGAGGGGATGGCGGAGGGTAAAGGTAATGGGAGGGAGTTGGAGTGCTTAGATCCTAATCCTCACTCTGATCAGTATTGACAAGTTTATTTAGGCTTCATTCCCTCTCCACATCCATTCTTTCTGCCTCAGGGAAACACTTTCTGTAATCAAAATGAAATTTCCTGTGAGCCTTTACTTTGAAGATGGTTTAGGTCATGATTTTAGAGATGTGATGTGACCACCCCATTAGTAAGAAATCTTGCAACATGAAATTCAAATCAAGGATAATCCTAGGGTTAAACAACATGAATTTCATGAAGACAGTTTTTATAAAACCCAGAGAACCTGCCCCCAAGAAAAGGAAGGTCACAACTATAGAGTTGACCTCATAGACTTCTTTTTCCAGGCATGTTCAAGGAACAGAAACAAAAGGACCAAAATAATTGAATTGTTTCTCTGAAAAGAAGTTATGATTAAGGTACTGTAATTGAGAAATTAACTAGGTTATTAAAATCTTAGAACTGAATATTCAATTAAGGTTCAATGTTGCAATAAAAATGAAGGAAGAAATAAAATATTCAGATTAACTAAGTTACTGGGGAGACAGAAAAGAGAGGACTACAATAAAGATAACATTAATTGAGATTTCAGCTCTCTTTTACAGTGGAATGAGAATTACAAGATGATTTTTAGAACTCCTAAAGTCTACTTATTCACTTAGTAGAGTCTGTTGAGAAAAATATAGACATTGGAGGACTTTAAGGGTCTCTAATCTTTATCATCAGAAAATGTTTAGTTGTTGAATCTTGTTATTGTTACCTTTTACTTTTACTACTATCACAAAATTTAACACAAAATATCACTGAGCTTTTCACATGTAATATCAAAAAGCAAGATATTGTCAAAGGTTAACTTGGAAGACCATATCCAGTAAACTGATATTAACTGTAGGGATGGTTCTCCAGTGCTTTGCACCTTGTGCAGTCATTTCCACCTGTAAAAAGTGGCTGTAAAATGCTACCAAATCAGAATGGTAGCATTTTACATCCACTTTGCACAGGTATGATTCACTATGCAGGGAGCACAGTGGAGTGTCAGGCCCTTATTTTTTTTAAAAAGAGAATAAAAATGGAGGGTTTAAAAGAAACACTGTGGAAATACAGTCAAATAAATAATAAAAAGTAAAAAATGCAAGGACAATAGAGAAATACAGTCCCTGAACAATTCAAAAATTAAGGTTTCAGCTAAATGGAAGCAATAATAGCATACTATTTTTAAGTACAAATCTCTGTTAATGACACCTCTTAGCCTAATGCTGCCAGCCTAACTCTACTCACACCCCACATTTCTGTAAGCAAATGAACAGAAGTACTGTGAACTTCCTGCCAGGAAGTCTTTTACTGCTTCTTCCCCCTTGAGAAAAGAGATTGGATCAAGGAGTCAGGGATGCAGAGCAAAGTGGGCGGATGGACCAATTATAATAATGGTTTCCTATCAGATGAGAGCAGGAGGGCCAGTTAGGTCTGGCTTCTTCAAAGCATCTCAATTGTTCCCATCTCTTTGCTTCCCTCCAAATACATGGGAAATGGCTGCTACTGAATATTTAGAGCATATTGGGACTGGACACTGACTACATTCAATTTCTAAAGTGACGCTGGTTGAAACGGAGGAGAATATTTTTTCATGTTAATAGAATTTGATTTGTTAATGGTAATGTAAATCATCTTTAATAGTTATTTTCCATACTTTCTTAGCAGAAGGAATTAAAGCTTTGTATTACTCAAGTTTAGGCCTTGTAGGCAGGATTGGACTAAGGCAATCTGGCATCCCAATGGCCCTGCCCCTGAGTCTTGCCCCGCTCCCTACCTTGGAGCGGGAATAGCAGGAGCAGAAACCCTGTCCCCCCAAGGTATGACAGTAGAGCATCAGGGATCCCTTATCTCCTGCTGGAGATGCAGGAGTGCAGTAGTGAGACTCCCCAGTACGTCGCCCATCAAACAGGTTGTATCTGCTTGGTAGAAAGGTGGGTTGAGGCCCAGTGGATTCTTTCCTCCTACTACACAGAGTCCTCTATTGGAGTGGTGTAGGTAGTGCCCCCTTCATTGCTTCTGGTTATAGTTAACACATCAGTGAGATGCATGGGACAGTGGGACACTGAGGTTTTGTTTCAGGCTCTGTGCAGAGTCGGGCAGCCATCACTGTATCAGTTTTGCTTGGTTCATATTTTCAAGCTTTTTGCAACCACGAGCTAGAAATTGACTTTTTAAAAATATTAAAGAGTGAAAGATTCTGATGTAATCATATTACTTCAGGAGCTGAGGCTTTAGACATGGGCCTATAGCATCAATACCTTTAATCCACCCATGAGTTTATGGTATTCTGTTATTAGTATCTTTTTTGTAACCTTCAAGTGTTGGCATATTCTTATAATAATAATAATAATAATAAAGGCTGAAGGAACTGGCTATGTTTAGTTTGGAAAAGAGGAGATTAAGGGGGGATATGATAGCTGTCTTCAACTACTTGAAAGACTGCCATAAGAAAGATGTAGACAAATTGTTCTCTCTTTCCACAGAGGGCAGACAATGGGTTCAAACTACAGCATAGCAGATTTAGATTAAATCTCAGGAAAAACTTTCCTAAATGTAAAACCAGCAGGACAGTGGAACAAACTGTCCAGGGAAGTCATGGAAGCTCCTTCACTGGAGGTTTTCAAAAAGAGGCTGGATAGCCATCTGTCTTGGGTTGTTTAGACACAACAAATCTTGAATATTGATAGGATGTTAGACTAGATGAACATTGTGATCCCTTCTAACCCTGTGGTTCTATGATTCTATGACCTCTATCCCTTGAACTAAGAGTAGATGGTAGCAGTAATAATCTCATGTGTGGATCAGCCAACAAAGAGGGATGTGACACATCTCTTTTTGTTAAACAGCGGAGGAATGTTGTGAATCAGTTTTCTGTTGCTGGCTCTGGAGGGGCCTTTTGTCCAGTAGTTACAGACAGCCACAGACAAAGAAATGTCTGAAATTCTGAAAGACACTGACTATGTTGATAAGATTTGCTGTATTAGAGACTTATGTCAGTACCAATTGCACAAGAAGTGACTTTGTGCAACTTCTGTTACTTCATTTGTAAGATAGGTGGATGAAAGTTGATCACTTCCCAAGGCTGAGGCATTAGGCCTTGCTCAGTAATGAAGACTATGATAGGCACCGAATTAATGCCAGCCAATGGAAGGGCTGAAACTAAGGGTTTATCGATACAAATACTTAGTTTGCAGTGAGATGGGGTATAAATCTATCCTACACTAACTTGCTGCACACTAAATGTGCTGCCACACACAAAAGTTCCCTAATGCACTTTAATCTATTCCCATTTCAAAGCAGGGTAGATCATAGCACACATGGGAAATTTTCGTTTTAAGCAAAAAGCAGATTTGACAGTAGGATGAGTTGAGCTCTTGCTCTCTTATCCTAGCAGAGACTTCATTTGTGTTCTTGATCTGGTTTTATGGTATTCTTTTGAACCCTTCCATTTACTGGCATTAGAAACTTGCATATCTCTAAATTGTTATGTACTTCAGCATAATATTTCAGTTAATTGTTATATTGGTGGCTCGTCTACCACTGATAGAATTTCAGTTATGATGTTACAGAAGTACGAAGATGTATTTTAAAAGACAAAGCATATGGTGGGCAGACAATCCCATGCAAAATGTTGATCAGATAATCCTCCGACACTCATCAAGGTCAAATTAAGGCTTCCTGTTAAAATCCCTTGCTGCTTTTTAAACATAGTATTTTTTCCCTTTAGGAATGGCAGAATTCTATTCAGAAGAATGCAGGACTTGCGTTTATTGAGCTCATCAATGAAGGAAGGTAATTAATTTTAAAGCTTTTGGACAAGTAGTCATTTTGCATTTCATTCCATTGGGTGATGCTACTTTCTCACCATCTGCTCCAGAAAGACTTGAGAAAAGGCCCTTTTAATTAAAAGAAATTTACTGCACAAATACTGTGCAAAGCAAATATTTAATTTAGTAAGGTATAAAATGTTAAACTCTTATTAATTGACTGAAAACACCCTGTGTGCTGTGTAAAGGTTTGAGGTTTATTTGAGATTTGAGCCATTATCCTACTGAGTAGCAAGGTTGTTTTACACAGAGGATCTAGGGAGCCCAATCTGTAAACCCATCTGCCACTCCATCTGTTTTAGGAGCACAGTATTCATTGTGCAGATGCACTTCCTTATACTCTCAGTTCATGAGAAATTATTTTATCTAGACTACTTGGTGCTGTCTAAGGTACTACATAAAACAGATTGAACATCAAGTTTATGTGAGCTACCTAGTTTTACAAGCAGTTAAGCTACTTTATTAACACTAGAGTAATTTTAATGTTACTTTGGTCTGTGTCTGCTTTTATCTTTTGTTCTGTGCCATCATTTTTCAATACTCTCTGTCCAGCCAGCTGAGCAATAATGGTGCACTCTTTGGATTAGCTGGCAGAAGATATTTCAAGGCAGATGTAGTCATCACCTCCATTGCCTGTATAGCTTCTATTGGCCAGGGAGTAGAAGCCTTTTAAACCTAGATGTCTTTGATGGTATTATATGTGGTGCTGAACAAAAATCTTCATAATAATACACTTGTTGAAGATTTTTTTGCCGGTTTGTTTTATAGTTTCATTTTTACTGGTAGTATGACATTAACAATACGGAAACATCAAATCTTCCCTTGTTGAAATGTTATCTTTATTGATGAAGCATAATTTTTTTGGTCTAATTGTATGATATACTCATATGCTGTTCAGTCGTACATTCTTGTCATGGGATGACATAGTAAAAATAATGCAGTAAACAGCTCTATCTAGAAACTAAGTTTACACACTTGGGCTAGATTTTCAGTTGGTGTAAATGAGCATAGTTCCCTTGAAGGCAATGGAGCTACACTGATATACATCATCTGAGAATCTGGCCCATGTGACTGTAAACTCTTCTGGGCAGGAACCATGTCTTTATATGTGTTTGTAGAGCACCTCTCACAAATGGGGCAATGATCCTGACTGAAGACTATTGTAGTATAAATATTAAATAATAATAAACTGTACAGTAAGCTTGGTTTCTATAGTTTTGTCCAAATTTCTTGGCTTGTTTCCCATGGTTTTTAAACGTAACCATTTTAGCTGGAAAACTCACCCACATTTTTTTTGTTTGTTTACAGCATCATCATCTGATAGTAAAATCAGATCTGATTATTGCACACTCGTTAATAAAATGAGAGTGCTGAACAAATGGCAAAACTGCATTTTTTAAGTTCATATGTAATAACCGTGAAATATCAGTGGGCTGTGTACATCCATCTAGCAGTAACCTTCAAAGCAAAAGGAGCAGTATTAAAGAACTTGCTCTTTAGGTCCAACCAAATGAATGCCTAAACAGACTATCTGTAGGTACATCTTCTTCCACATATTTTTGTCAAAGGTATGTTTCAGAATATGTGGGTGAGTGTGTGTGTGTTACTAGGACACTTGTTCTCCTCCACAGTTAGCAGATCAGTTTTTAATTTACCCTTCTGGGGATAAAGATAACAATCCTTTAAGTGGAAATTGTTATAAATATTTATTCTACTTAATAGCTAAACTTGTGAATGTGATTCATCAATCATAGCTAGAGAATGTGATTGTGCAGTTGTCAACAATTAACAGGACATAAACAGTTGATGAATGTGCAGCTGAATTAAAGTGCTCCCTAGGACAGCCTGAAATTATAAACTGGATCATTTAAAGGAATTTAACAAAGGATCTTTATAATTAAAACAAAGCACGGTTAATGGGATGTAAAATTGTATATAATCACCATGCAATAATGACTGGATTTTAAATTGTTAAAGTGCAAAATGAAGACTAAGAATAGTTAAAAAGTCTGAATTAGATTGTGAATGATCTATTTAATAAATCAACAGTTTCACCAAAATAAACCCTGTCTAGCTCATCTGTTTTTAACAAAATTAAAAATACAAGAAAAGTAGTTCATAATTTTTAATCATTCAGTCTTACACCTTCAGGTTTTAAAATATGGATGTTATTAAAAGGTTTCCTAATTTTGATTTCCTGTTTCTTGTTTCTGCATCAAAACATTTGTGCACCATTGTGATCTTTAATGACTTCACTGGAAATATAATGAAACAAGACTTTTCATTATAATAATTAGTTTGGACTCCTAAAATAAAAACAGATTGCCCACATTCCTGTTGCTTGAGTTTTGATAAATAGTGTCCTGTCTTTAAATAATATGTATAAGTATATTTGTATTTTAGCTTACTCAAGGTAGTGTTGTGCTATGGATGTCTGAACCGCTTCTATTTGTGTAGTCATGATTTACATGACATTCTGGCACTATTTTCCAGTTTTAGGAATATGGGATTACTACCCAGGTACTCCTGAGTTTATTTCTGATTCTGTTGCTGACTCCCTCTCTAACCTTAGACACGTTACATTACCTCTGTCTCAGTTTTCCCATGTGTAAAATTGAGATAATACTTACCTACCTCAAAGGGCTGTTATGAGGATTAGTTCATGGTTGACAATTAAAATTAAAAAGTTGCATAATTGCTAAGAATTATTCATAGGCACTATTTTCGTAGTTTTCAGTATAAAAAGAGCTTCTGGTTATAACATACATTTAATATTTGCAAGACAAATTGCTAGGAAAATTCCATTAAATATCAATTTGTACATTGACACTGCAAAATTTTTCAGTCCTTAGAATCATAGAAATGTAGGGCTGTAAAGACCTTGAAACGTCATCAAGGTGCTGAGGCAAGGCTAAGTACACCTAGACCATCCCTGACATGTGTTTGTCCAACCTGTTGTTAAAACCTCCAATGATGGGGATTCCACAGCCTCCCTTGGAAGCCTACTCCAGAGCTTAACTACTCTTAGGCCTGGTCTACACTAGGACTTTAATTCGGATTTAGCTGCCTTAATCCGAATTAACCCTTCACCCGTCCACACTACAGAGCCAGTTAATTCGAATTAAAGGGCCCTTTAAATCGATTTCTGTACTCCACCTCGACGAACGGAGTAGAGCCTAAATCGATTTTGTTAATTCGAATTAGGGTTAGTGTGGACGCACACCACCGAATTACTGTGTTTAAGTTAATGGGGTAGTGTGGCCGCACACCACCGAATTAATGTGGTTTAAAACCGAATTAAGGTGCTTAGTGTGGCCGCGCACAATCGAATTTATACAACCTGTTTCCCAAATTCGAATTATCTAAATTCGGATTAATCCTGTAGTGTAGACATACCCTTATAGTTAGAAAGTTTTCCCTAATATCTAACCTAAATCTCCTTCCTGCAGATTAAACCAACTATTCCTTGGTCTGTCTTCAGTGGACAAGGAGAATAACTGATCATCATCTTCTTTATAACAGCCCTTAACATCTTGGAAGACTATCAGGTCCCCCCCACAGTCTCCTTTTCTTAGGACTAAACAGCCATAGTTTTTTTTAAACCTTTCTTCATAGGTCAGGTTTTCTAAATCTTCTATCATTTTTATTGCTCTCCTCTGGAATCTCTCCAATTTGCCCATGTGTCCTAAAGTTTGGCACCCAGAATTGGGCACAGTTTTCCAGCCATCAATCCTCACCATTGCTGAGTAGAGCAGGACAATTACCTTCCATGTCTTAGGGCTTGTCTACACTACCCGCTGGATTGGCGGGCAGCAAACGATCCAGCGGGGGTCAATTTATCGCTGAGCACTCTCCCGTCGACTCCAGTACTCCACCAGAATGAGGAGCGCAAGTGGAGTCGACAGGAGAGCATCAGCTGTTGACTTCTCAGGCCTGGTCTACACTACGAGTTTAGGTCGACTTTAGCCGCGTTAAATCGAATTAAGCCTGGACACATTCACACGACGAAGCCCTTTCTTTCGACTTAAAGGGCCCTTTAAACCGGTTTCTTTACACCACCTCCGACGAGGGGATTAGCGATAAAATCGGCCTTAGGGGGTCGGAATTGGGTGTGTGTGGACGGAATTCGACGTTATTGGCCTCCAGGAGCTATCCCACAGTGCTTCATTGTGACCGCTCTGGACAGCACTCTCAACTCAGATGCACTGGCCAGGTAGACAGGAAAAGCCCCGCGAACATTTGAATTTCATTTCCTGTTTGCTGAGCGTGGAGAGCACAGGTCGCTCATCAGCACAGGTAGCCGTGATGGAGTCCCAGGATCGCAAAAGAGCTCCAGCATGGACAGAACGGGAGGTTCGGGATCTGATCGCCATATGGGGAGATGAATCAGTGCTGGCCGAACTCCGAAGCAGTAAACGAAACGGCAAAATATTAGAAAAGGTCTCCAGGGCCATGAAGGACAGAAGCCATAACAGGGATGCACAGCAGTGCCGCGTGAAAATTAAGGAGCTAAGGCAAGCCTACCACAAAGCCAGAGAGGCAAACGGAAGGTCCGGGGCTGAGCCGCAAACATGCCGCTTCTACGCAGAGCTGCATGCCATTCTAGAGGGTGCAGCCACCACTACCCCAACCGTGTGCTATGAGTCCCTCACTGGAGAAACACACAGGAAAGCGGGTTCTGGGGACGAGGAAGATGAGCCTGAAGATAATGTAAATAGCTCACAGCAGCAAGGAAGCGGAGAAACCAGTTTCCCCAACAGCCAGGATATGTTTATCACCCTGGACCTGGAACCAGTAGCCCCCGAACTCACCCAAGACCCTGTGGGCACACAGGGGACCTCTGGTGAGTGTACCTTTGTAAATATTACACATGGTTTAAAAGCAAGCGTGTTTAATGATTAATGATTAATTTGCCCTGGCAATCGCGGCCAATACAGCTACTGGAAAAGTCTGTTAACGTGTATG